ATATAGACAAAAACAGTTTACTCGCTACAAAGATGCAACTTCGTTTCAGTGCATTCCAATTTTTGAAATGCACTGAAAGAGTAAACTGTTTTTGTCTATATGATAAAATTATAATATATATATATATATGATTTCAACATATGAGCATCTGACAACCTCATTCAGTTTTTTTTGCTTGTTATGTATGCGACACTTTAGTCCAGCTAGTGATTTGCATACAAGGCTACATATTGTGCAAGAGAGAGGATCCCGAGACACACACAAATATATATATATATACATATATATATTTATTGTGTGTGTGTGCGCCTCATACTAACTCAGACTCTCACACACAATCTGGATATAGGTAGCAACACTGGGTGTGCTTCATGCTTAAACACAACCATCACGTCATATTAAGCAGTTTTCAATCATAATATAGCATACATTAAAATCAATATTTTATCACACATTAAGTTACTAATAAGCCTTTTTTTTTTTTTTAAAGAACTAAAAGTCATTAAGTGACCAATTCATTAGGTAATTTTACATGTAAACCATCCAAAAAGCATTCATCAAAATTATAAATTGTCATTAGCATTCCAAAATCTGTTCAGACAACTGAACTAATGTCTTGTGTTGTCAGGTTTCAGCCGATCCATTCTACAACCTTCTTCATGTCTAGAAAGAAAGAGAAACAAGACGGACATAGCCAAAGACACTGAGATATGAACACCCACATACCTTCACAAGAAGATCGAGTGTTTGAAAAAAGACTCATAAACACATACCCATAATATGGCCGACATTAAATTCGAGAGAATCCAGGAACAAATGAACAATTTAAAACATTTAGTCTTGTATTCTTATCAGACGTTACTAACATTACAGTGGGTTATTTGGTAAAAAGCCTAGAAGAGTGATTCCAAGAGGTGTTCAGAACTCTTCTTAGGGTTGTTTATGCTGTGTCTATAATATTTTGGTAAATCCTTTCTACAATCCGTACAAAGGAACCCAAAGGATTTTTCTTCTAAATCCAGAAAACAACGGCTGGATAAAAAGCAACTTTCTCTTTCTATACAGATATGCCTGAAGAAGGATATAGATTGGCTGAAACAATGAGAAGTAGATCATTAGCATGAACAACATGCAGGATGATTACTCTTAGACAAGAGAAAAGGGGAAATTCAACTCCTTACAAGTTTTTTTAATACCATTTTTTGTTTAATGGGGATATTTCAGCTTTAGTTTGAATTAAATTTTTCACAACTTTTTTTTTTTTTTTTTTTTTACAGCTCTCTCACGACAAGTACCTCTCATTTGATGTTCTGACGGGGGTAATGAACTATGCAACTGCCTAAGTTATTTGAAATACCAGTGAAAAGGAGAGAGAGAGAAACCACAAGTCTTACCTGAATATGCTTACAGTCATGGCCTCGAGCTGGCAAAGTAATCCGTCGAAATGTGATCGGACATTTCAAAGATACTTTCATTGCTGTCTGTTCAACACCATCTTCTCCATTCAAGGTGTTACTGCCAGCTGGAACATTGCTAAAGTTTCTTTTGACTAAAGAGGGAAAAATATTTAAGCATTAATAACAGAAAAAAAAGGAAGATATAAACAGTTAAAAGAAACAAAAAGACAAGTAGAGGCTAAAAAGTTCCCAGGAAAAGTCTTTAGAGGTCAAATTTTGATGAAGCTTTGTCATCATCAGTTATCGCAAATAGCAATACCAGAAGTGAAGAAAAAAAATGATACTTCAATAGCATCATTTTTAATTGTGTCTTTCAACATAAATCCTCTTCAAGCTGGGTATGGCGATAAACTACATTCAGTAGCAAGGCCTTTTCTGAAGGTTCTGAGGAGAGTAGAACCACCTCTTAAGTGCTGTTGTTCTCAGGTCCACTGGGGTGGTAGCACTTGTTAGAGTCCCATCTATGGGAAAATAGTTAATCCCCAAACTGGGTTCAAAACAATATGAAAGTATAAAAATAGATTTTTATAGTAAAAATACCAGCAACAAATTTTGAGAAAGAAAAAAAGAGAGGAAAGAAAAAAAGAGAGGAAAGAAAAAAAGAGAGGAAAGAAAAAAAGAGAGGAAAGAAAGAAAGAAAAAAAAAAGAGAAAAAAAGAAAAAAAGAAAGAGAAAAAAAAAGAAAAGAGAGAAAAAAGAAAAAGAGAGAAAAAAAAAAGAGAGGAAAGAAAAGAGAGAAGAAAGAGAAAAAAAGAGAGAAAAGAAAAGAGAAAAAAAGAAAAAAAAAAAAAAAGAGAGCAAAGAAAGAGAGAAAAAGAAAGAGAGAAAAAAGAAAGAGAAAAAGAAAGAGAGAAAAAAAGAAAAGAGAGAAAGAAAGAGAAAGAAAAAGAAAAGAGAAAAAAAAAGAGAGAAAAGAGAGAAAGAGAAAAAAAAAAGAGAAAGAAAGAAAGAGAAAAAAAAGAGAAAGAAAAGAAAGAGAAAGAAAAGAGAAAGAAAGAAAGAGAAAAAAAGAGAAAGAAAGAAAGAGAAAGAGAAAAGAAAGAAAGAGAAAGAGAAAGAAAGAGAGAAAAGAAAGAGAAAGAAAAAGAAAGAGAAAAGAAAGAAAGAAAAAGAAAGAAAGAGAAAAAGAAAGAAAGAGAAAGAAAGAAAGAGAAAAGAAAAGAAAAAAAAAAGAAAGAAAAAAAGAAAGAAAGAAAAAGAAAGAAAGAGAAAAGAAAGAAAGAAAAAGAAAGAAAGAGAAAAGAAAGAAAGAGAAAAGAAAAGAAAGAGAAAAAAGAAATGAAAGAGAAAAAGAAGGAAAGAGAAAAAGAAGGAAAGAGAAAAAAGAAAGAGAAAAAGAAAGAAAGAGAAAAAGAAAGAAAGAGAAAAAGAAAGAAAGAGAAAAAAAGAAAGAGAAAAGAAAGAAAGAGAAAAAGAAAGAAAGAGAAAAAGGGAAAGAAAGAGAAAAAGGGAAAGAAAGAGAAAAAGGAAAGAAAAGAGAAAAGGAAAGAAAGAGAAAAAGGAAAGAAAGAGAAAAAAGGAAAGAAAGAGAAAAAGGAAAAAAAAGAAAAAAAGAAAGAGAAAAGAAAAAAAGGGAAAGAAAAGAGAAAAGGAAAGAAAGAAAAAGGAAAGAAAGAGAAAAGGAAAGAAAGAGAAAGAGAAAGAAAAAAGAGAGAGAAAAAAAGAGAAAAAAAAAGAGAGAAAAAAAAGAAAGAGAAAAAAAGAAAGAGAAAAAAAAGAAAGAGAAAAAAAAGAGAAAGAAAAAAGAGAGAGAAAAGAAGAGAGAGAAAAAAAAAGAAAAAAAAAAGAGAAAGAAAGAGAAAAAAAGAGAAAGAGAAAAAAAAAAAGAGAAAAAAAAAAAAGAGAGAGAAAAAAAGAGAGAAAAAAAAAGAGAGAGAAAAAAAAAGAAAGAGAAAAAGAAAGAAAGAGAAAAGAAAGAAAGAGAAAAAGAAAGAAAGAGAAAAGGAAAGAAAGAGAAAAGGAAAGAAAGAGAAAAGGAAAGAAAGAGAAAAGGAAAGAAAGAGAAAAGGAAAGAAAGAGAAAAGGAAAGAAAGAGAAAAGGAAAGAAAGAGAAAAGGAAAGAGAAAAGAAAGAAAGAGAAAAGAAAGAAAGAAAAAAGAAAGAAAGAGAAAAGAAAGAAAGAGAAAAGAAAGAAAGAGAAAAGAAAGAAAGAAAAAAGAAAGAAAGAGAAAAGAAAGAAAGAGAAAAAGAAAGAAAGAGAAAAGAAAGAAAGAGAAAAGAAAAAAAAAAAAAAAGGAAAGAAAGAGAAAAAGAAAGAAAGAGAAAAAGAAAGAAAGAGAAAAGGAAAAAGAGAAAAGGAAAGAAAGAGAAAAAGAAAGAAAGAGAAAAAGAAAAAAGTAAAAAAAAAGAAAAAGAAAATTTACCAGCAATTCATTTGACTCTTGACAAAAAACCCTTTTTACAATACATAAATGAAACTTGATCTAATGATTTCTTACAAAGAATACATATTCTATTCATATGAATCTATTCTAAAAAAATCTCGTCAGCATTAAATAACCCATCGAGGTTGATATGCTGTAAAACCAAACCAATAAATTCTTTTACTTCTAGTAGTAGATGTAATAGCCTTAAGGTGTCTGAATTTCTGTTACATTCTGTATCGCGACTGGATCCTGATGCTACTACACAGATGGTATCAATGAAAGATGGTTTCATTTTCTTACTTGTTTTATCAGAGAAGAGGGATAGACACGGCAGCATAGATTCTAAAAGGCAGCAGGAGGAAGAAATTCAAAAGAACGCTTGTTGGCTTAGTGTCCCTCTGTTTGTGGCTTCAGCCCATCTCTTCAAGATGGGCACAGAAAGTGCATCAAAACTTCAAAATTCTTGCATTCCTCTGATGATGGATTGATATTCAAAACTTAGACAAAGGTAATTCATCACCTGTCAGAATAGCATGTCCATGATATATTCTGACCAATCACTGACTCTCCCAGCCCAGCCACTGCATTCTGTAACATTTCTTAAATGAAACATTATTATATTATGACTAGTTTTTATTTCAGCTTATTTTTATTATGCCTTGCCACTATGCTCAGGCACTTAAATAAACATAAAGCAATCAGAATTGAGTGGAAATGAAGAATAAGTCATTGGCAAGATTTGAACTTATGTAATTACATTTGTTAAGGTTATCTCAGTAAAGCCCAAGGCTAAGAAGATTGGTTTCACAAATTGGGGGAGGGCCAGATCGTTCAGAAAAATCAACATTCAAAATCCTGACATTTTAACCTGAGCTTGAACACTGACATCTATCATTGAGTGGAAATAATGAACTATTTCATCTTAAGTCTGTCACAAGATCAAAAGTGTTGATCTAGCCAATATGGCTCAAATTCACTACAGTAGTAAGGGCATAGATGACTTTCAATGGGAGCAATGCATCAGATTAAAACAATATAACTTTATAATAACATTTAAATCAGAATTTAAAAAATATTATTTACAGCCCTCAATTTTGCTGTCATCATAATGTTTCAGCTGATATGCACTTCAGCCTCCTTCAAGTGTCTGTTAATATTGATAATTTTGAACTGAACCTTTTAAGGATAAACTGTTCTCATCCTGCTACCATTTTTTTTTTCAGTTATTACTAATCCTGCTTCCACTGAGTCTTACTGTACGGCTTGGCTCAAGAAATGAACTTGCATTGAAATGAGAAAAATTTATCCTTGTACGTTAAATAAAAGGTTCAGTTTGAAATTCCCTGAAGGTTAATCGGGTTGATAGACCCCTGAGGAAGGCTGGAAGGCACAACACAGTTGAAATGGTGTAACAATAACAAAGATAAGGATACTAGTCAATCTACAAAAAAGTCAACTCTTCATCCAAGAAATTCAGTCAAATTCAGTTAAAAAAAATTCCATTAAAACATCAGGTCTCCAAACCAATGGTTGTGGACCAATTGAAGATCAAAAAGATGATCTTGAGAGTTTGGAGAAAGGGAGGGGGGGGGAGAAATAGTGCAAATATTTATATATGAACTATTGTCCTTGTCTTTTGTGTTATTATTATTATTGTGATTTTATGGAACAGACTCCCAAGAGGATGCTTTCCTAATCACTACAGTCTTCATGTCTAAAGTCAACCTTTGTCTATGCTTTATATCCTAATAAAATGTACATCCTCCCTTTAGGCTCACCTATCACCCGGTTCTACTCCTCCCCAGTCTTTTGAATAGGAGTAGAGGTTTATACTTTGTTTCCCCATTTTGGAGTGGGTTTCAAATTCTTTTGAAACCCACTCCAAAATCATTTCCTTCTCTTTCACTTCCAGTGGTGACTTGTGTCTTGGTAGCATTATCTTCTTTGAATTAGCTGAATTAACATCATAAGTAATTTAATATATATCAAAATAGAAAACATCGTGATATGCATTGATTGAACCAGCCTGATGATCAGAAATGTGAAACTATAGTATCAGGGATGTTATTTGGATTTAAAAAAAAAAAGTCTTGCACAACAAATCTTGCATTGAGCAGATTTTTTTTTTTTTTAAACGTGTAAGAATTTGAGTCAGTTTTCGGAGTTGACTTCTGCACCAATATTTGACTGAAGCTGTTGAAAAGATTATATAACCTCCCATAAGCCAATTTAACCTGTCGAATAAAGAAAGCATACTTACTTTTTGTTATGCAATGTTCTGCAGGTAAGAGACGTTTTCGTAATAAACCTTGTAGCACAGATCGTACGCTTGGTCGATGGACAAGTTGAAGGACAAATAAATGGGACTGCAGGCGTAAAAAAAAAAAAAAAAACAAATAAGAAAAGGATATAAACAGAAAATTTTATGAAAATGAACAATAGCAATTAATATATCAATAAATCTCAATTTTAATTGGTGATCATTTGATGTATTTGGATAAGTTGGTTGATTTTACAATAGTCAAACCTTATTAAGTTAGTTTAATTCATATCCTCCAGGTGTCAGTTTAAGCTGATGCCTTCTTATATATATATATATATATATATTTCTTGAATCATTTCAGCCCAAGCTAGGCAATAAAGCCACTAAGATGCAAGGGGTTAACTGAGTATGAAAGAACCTGGAGGAAAATGTTGAGGATGAGGGAGAATAAAAAGATCAGAATTTAAGAGAGATGATGACAATTGATATTGCATTTAAATTTTTGAATAGTTGACAGGAAAGCAAAAAGCCAGAAGAGAGTTCTACAAGCAAGAAATGCGAGAGAAGAAATTATTAAAATAGAATTTATGGTTACATAGCAATTTCAATAGAAGAATAATGAGACCTAGCTGCTATTCTAGTCCTACTCCACTTAAATTTGTGAAGTCAAAGAGGAAAACTCATCAAAACAAACAATTGTCATGAATATTATATATATATATATATATATATATATATATATATATATATATAATACACATACATACAAGTTGTAGCCTCTGTTTGCTGTCTAACTCCTCCTACGGTTTTGGAGATAGACCCCAAAAAAAAAAAAAAAAAAATCATCTACCCCGACCATATATATTCTGAAACTAGATTACCCAGGTTACTTGGATAAGAATATTTCATTTTGATCAAAGAGGGTCCCTTGGCAGCACAAATCCAACTGAATTTTTTTCCCCCTTTCATTTAAATTAAATTTGAATAAAGGAATGATTCTTATCCAAAATATAGGTGGAGAAAGCCAGAAGATGGAGGTCACATCAGCAAGATCATTGAGTAATACTGAAATGCATCATTTTTCTCCATAAATGATAACAATGGCAAAAAAATTAAGCATGTGTTTAAATGGAGACCAGGTGGAGATGACAAAAATTTTGTATGGGTGACCAAGTGAGGACTGAAATCACAACTTGGTAATAATGTTCAACCAAGACTAGTTTTGCTAACAGCTTTGATAAGGCACCTTTATATATTTGCTGACCCTGTTTTTATGAAGAGGTGCTGAAAAGTTTTCAGCACAACCCACTTTCCAAATAAATGATCAAATATTTTTTTTTTTCTTTTTTTTCTTGTTTACATCTTTTTATCACCACAGCATATTTCAATATTTAAATAATTTTTTTTCAGGTTTCATAATCAAATTAATAAAAAAAACAAAACACTTCTAACACTTGATTCAGTTAGTCTAAACAAATGTAATGACTTTTATGAGACAGAGATAGCAAGAAAACTAGTCTGTCCCAAAATAGTTGATACATTTTGAATTGAACACTATTTAATCTACAGGAGTAAATTGTTCCGGTTCCACTGTCCATATCTAGGATTATCTCGTCTGGTTATTTTTAGTATTGCTTACCTTGTTTCTACTAAGTCTGAATCTGCACTACCCAGCCTAGGGATTACTATCAGATCAATTCAAGACTAATTATTTCTAAGAGTTACGTTTTTTTTTTTTTTTTTTTAAAATAATATTTACAAAAGAAAAAAAATATTTAAAAACTTATTACAGTTTAATAAGGTAGCTATTTGAATTAGATTTTCCAAAATTGAAGTATTCTAGTTCATAAAATTTTTTTAAAAAATTGTTTTATTAAATTTATAAAAAAAATTAAATATTATGCTAATATTTTATTAAATCAGAAAACAACATCTGTCAGTTTTGTGTCTATTCTATTTAAAAAAAAAAAAAAAAAAAAGAAATAAACTAAAAGGAATTTAAAAAAAAAAAATGAAAAAAAATGTAAAAGAAATTAAATATATCCTACATGCATGAACCTTTTCCAAGTGTAATAGCAAAGAAAAAAAAAACAAAAAAATAATACAAAAAACAAAAAGATTGGCATTTTGTGTTGAGAGATTAAAATGTAAAAGAAAGAATGAGCAGCCAAGTAGTTGTTTAATGCTTACACAACAGCAGGCTGTTACTGTGATCTGAATTGTATTCCGTCCAGGTTGACACACATCTTTCAGGTAGAGAGGTTTGTGGGAAGTTTTGTTTTCTCCTCGTTCAATATTTAAAGGTGTTGCATTGACACTGACTGTTACAGAAGCTGGCCAGTTTGTATTCATCTGCCGGTCTTCATGATGGAAACACTTCAGCTGTAACTCCAGATCAGACCTAAAAAGAAGGCAATATTGGAAAAGTGATTTTAATTGGAAAAGATGGACAGCACAAAAGATCGGACATTGAGAAAAAAGGATAGATTTTTTCACATCTAAAATATACAGGAAAGATTTCGAGGGTGATTTTAAAAGGATGATCAAACTAAAAGGCAATAAAAATGAAGTGATAAAATATTTTCACAGCTAAAATTTCTAAGGGTGATTTTAATTGGGAATTTATGAAAAAGCGATACTCATTGATACATACCTCCACATCAGAGTCTGGTAGACAGATTCCCGAAGGTGAAAGGCATGATTGCTGACTGCCAAATTGTGTTCTAGTCGGAAAGGATGCAATACAGTACCATCACGCACAGGGAACGTTAGTCGAAGCTCGTCATTTTCTGCAAGATCAATAAGTCTCAATTAATAAAAAATTGCTAACAGTGATTAGAAATCAAAGTTTTTTTTTTTTTTTCCATAGATTTTATTGGTTGTTAATCTTTATGTCATAAACTAAAATGAAATACAAAGATTTCATGAATTATTTCAATGAATATCGTTGAAGATGAGGATATTAATTGAAGTTATAAATAGGTACTTCTGGTGAATACTTTTTTTTTTTTATAGGAATACATTGCAATAATTTGATTATGGAAATGAATTGTGATTATTAAAACAAATACATCAAAACTGTCAATTCACTAAAATACTATCAAGTGACACTGCAAATATTAAAAGCATATTAAATAGTCAACTAATCAGAATTCCTAATTGTTATCAATATACAATTTCTGCCATTTATTTCCAAACCCTTTTTCATTGCCATTTGGAACAAAAAGTGGATGAGGAAGAAGGGGGGGAACAGGGCCTTTAGGAATGGAATCAAATTTATAATGTGAAACAAAGTCACACACTCTCAGACATATTGTTTACATGAGGATATGAAACAGAGCAGAGAGGTATCATTTGAGAATCAGAAAAGGTTTATGTTCAAAAGCACTATTCGGGCTTTGTTTGGCCATGAGGTTTTTTGTAGCCGAGCAGTTAAAACACGTCAAATCTAATGATGGTTTCCCCTAGGGGCAACACAGGTTCAAATCCTGCCAGAGAGTACATATTTTTCTCAATAAGATTTCACAAATATTCAGGCTGGTAAATGTAAATAATTAAATATATTGTTTAATAAATAAAAACAGAGCATCTACAGACTACCCACATATAACATTATTTGATTACAGTGGAGATTGATAGACTCATTTTCTACAGCTCATTAACCATTTGCAGATTATTTAAAGTCAGAAAATATTGGGGGTAGGGAGAGGAGATAATAGTTTATTTATACAAGTCTTATTAATCAGCTCATAGGTGGAGAGGGGGGGAGACATGGATCCATACCTTTCCCCAAGGGTATTTTGCATGCAAGTGAATTATATGCATATATATATATATATATATATATATATATATATATATATATATATATATATATATATATATTAGTGTCTATATATATATATATATATATATATATATATATATATATATATATATATATATATATATATATATATATATATATTTCCAAGAGGATAGAATCTAGGTAAAGCTCAATATACAAGATAGAGCAAGAATATAATATAAAAAGGCTCAAACACCAATATTCCATGGTTATAATTTATTACATTAGGATCGTAATCATGATCCAATTCATCAGATCTACAAATTCAAAAAGAAAACTGAAAATATAACTGGGTATAAAAAACAAAATTTTAGTGGGAGTGTATGTGCAGGAATCAGAAACAAGGGTGAGAGGGAAATGTATGAAAGCTCTAGGGAGGGAGTGTAATAGAAGAAAGAAGAACAGGAATGGACTTAAGGCGAGGGTGGGGAATAAAATTTTAAAGAGAGAAGTTAAATAATGGTTTAAATGAGCGAGATACAGATAAATATGAGTTATCAGATATACACGAACACTTTGATCTTGATCTCTTCCCCTATTAATATTAGGATACTGTATTATGCTAACAGGAGAGGCATTACTTTACACTAATAAGCAAACATACCTCATATTAGTATAACAATGGAATATCTCATTAGCACATTAGAAAAGGTCTGGTTGCTAATGCATTGGTTATTTATTATTTGTTTTAATTATTTCTCATTTCCTGTTATCTATCATTGCAGAATTTTTTGTCTCTCCAATTTAAAAAAAGCTGAATTCTTTTTCATATGTATTATGTGCTATGTGTAATACACGCTTAGGTAATCATGTATCTTTCAATACATAACTGACAAGGCAGATTTTTTCCCGCAGTAGGTTGCCATTTCTTACTGTAGTAGACCAGTTGCCAACCATGGCTATAGAACCTGGTCTGTCCTGCTTTTTACCCATAGCTGAAGAGGGGAGAAGAAGAGGATTCATACCTTTCCCAAGGTTATTAGCATTTAAGTGAATGTAATGGATTCGACTGGAATTCAAACTTTGCTCAGCGATTCTTCAATCCAAGCCACTATCCATTACTCCACCATGCCTCCAATAAGTCATATGTACCAATGAAGTTAATTTTATGGATAGAAATCCTCATTTACTCAGATAGAAAATATAACCAATTCAAATGTAAACTTATGTAAAGCTGCAGCCATTCTTTCAATGGTACAGCTAAACTATTACAATAGTTGTTAAAAATACAAACTTATACAGTTTGACTATTACACAGAAAGCTGTTTTACCTTTTTTAATTGGTAGGGCAGGTTTTAAATCTTGAAAGGGTGGCTTCATCTCAGCCCCAGGGGACACATATGGAGGAACAGCACTTCCAGGTGTCATTGGTGGGGTAGGATTACCGGGTAAGGGTGAATGTTGGTAATTCATATTTGCTTGCTGCAAAAAAGAAAAGAAAAATTATTTGCCGATTTTCCAAAATGAAGATATTCTGACATTCTTGAAAATAATTGCTGAACATTCATACTAAAAAAAAAAAAAATAAAAAAAAATAGAGAAATCATGTTAAGTTGTTCAAAAAGAAATTCAAAGTAAAAAAAATCACACCTAAGAAAGATGAGGAAACATTTGTATACTTTGTTTTTCTAGAAGCAGAGAATCCCAAATTATTTAATGTTTGGTTAGTCTTTTCTTCATCTTACTGTTGTTTCTTTATTACAACTTTCTTGGTTGAATTCCAACCAACTGTTAAAGTAAGTAACATGAAATAAGAATAAAGAAGTAGCTTTTGTTAAATTATTTGACTTCTGACCTGGTACTTATATACTTATAAAAGTCATTTATCATTTTAGTGTCTCACCTCTGAACTTCTTCAATGTATTTTTTTTTATCTCTTTGTAAAGCCAGGTTTTTCAATAAAATAGACTTTTCATGCCTGCAGTTATCACTTTTTCTAGTATTGATGCGGGTTTCATTCCTGTCCTTTCAGTTTGTGTGGAAAGTCTACATCTTGTTTATATCATTATTTTCCCTTCAAGTTACAAGTTCAATCCATTTTTAATCTTTAAGTCAATAGGTCCTTGTTAACCTTTGATGGTAAAATTATAGTCAACCTAGATTGTCATTCTACAATTGTTAGAAAAGCACCAGGGTTCAGTAAGAAAGAAAAAAAAAAACCACTGAAGGTTTTTTATGATTCCTATATTCTTCATATTCCTATATTCTTCATATTCCTATATTCTTCATATTTTATATTCTTCATATTCCTATATTCTTCATATTCCTATATTCTTCATATTCCTATATTCTTCATATTCCTATATTCTTCATATTCCTATATTCTTCATATTCCTATATTCTTCATATTCCTATATTCTTCATATTCCTATATTCTTCATATTCCTATATTCTTCATATTCCTATATTCTTCATATTCCTATATTCTTCATATTCCTATATTCTTCATATTCCTATATTCTTCATATTATTCTTCATATTCTATATTCTTCATATTCCTATATTCTTCATATTCCTATATTCTTCATATTCCTATATTCTTCATATTCCTATATTCTTCATATTCC